TATATATATATATATGATAGATTGAAGATCACCTCTACTGCATCCTTTTCCTCAAACTACACATTTAGAAATACCATTATGAACACAAAGTTTAATTTGCTGAATTTGTTTATTCAGAAAGAAACAGAATTTATTTCCAACAAGATGAAATCATTTCAGCAACAGAATGGAAAGTGCAGCCCCCTGACCTGTGAAGTATCACCTAATAAATTATAATAACCTCCCATCCCCTATTAATAAATCTCCAATCAGGATGACAGACCAGCTTCCATAGAAGCTCCATCATATTATAGTACAAGATCCCTGCAGCGGAAAATGCAGCAGAGGTCCAGCGGCTGATCCAGGAATATACAAAATGTTACACTCATACACTATGTACAGGAACCGTTTCCGGACCAGACTCTGGAAGAGATATGGGAATTCTATCCAAGCCCCCACCCATTCAGGCTACTTGTGCAAATGTCCAGACAGAGCAAGATCAACAGGATGAGCCGTCAACCCCGTCATCCCACAGTCGTCCCAAGCTCTTACTGCAATTCATAGTTCTTGAAGTTGGACAAAAGAAAACCATTTGAGGCAAAAAAGAAGTGTTTCAGTGTTTGCACGATCAGAGTTTCAATGTAGTGGCGGCTCTAAATGTTCCTGGCAAGGGTGGGATTTGTGAACACAAGTGTTCTGAAAGTGCTAAGCCGTATTATACTTTATTCTGAAGTGTAAAGAAAACTGTCTCTAGTCCATGTCTCCTCTCTTTATTAAAACCACACACAGCCACCCTATCACTAGAAATTAAACACTGTAGAGATGGCCATTTTGTGAGATATACAGGTTTACTAAGAATTGATTCCATCTCAGAATTTAGCAATACCCGCAATCAGAGTCTTTGTAAACTGACTAATACAATCTCCCTCAGACTTCTTATAATTTTCAGGGAGAGTGCCCCTTAGACAGACATTCTGACTGCCCCCAACACTCAGTTCTGTACACAGCAATGTGGACATGCGCCTCATGCAGGTGGGGTGCAACTATCCTGCCAAGTAAATCGATAAGTCAAGGCCACCACCAATCCCAGATAGTTCTAAGAAGCCAATAGATGACTGAACTTGCTGGCCTTGCGCCAATGACCGAGGAACCAGATTTAGGTGAAGTTCACCGCATAAAAGAAGTTCTTAGCAAATGCGAAGGCTGCATTCCCGCATAAAACGGCTACCACTGTTTAATCTGTGCAGTTGTTGAATTCAAGCTGACAAGTAGAGAATCCGTCACTTTGGTTTGGCGTATCCTGAACTCCTTTATATATAAACCAAAAAAAACAAACAAAAAAACCTTCAAAAACAGGAATTATTCCGATCAAGTCACAGATGCTTAAATCATCCGAATCATAAACTGCTCAGGAATCACTTATGTCCCCCTCTTAGTAAGTGATTAGAGTTTCCTGTTAAAATGTATAAAATATTCTCTATGCACCTGACCTACAATGGGGCCCGCAGCCAAAAAATAGGGGCCACAGCAACCACTTAATAGAACTGCCAAAAGAAAAAAAAAAAAAAAAAAAAAACACATCCCCGTCTCCTTCATTTAGACGTCCTGTACCACATCATACAGATTTACCAAGCAGCATGTAAAGACGTGGACAACACTGCGTAAGGGCCTGTCACTGTCCTCAAAGCAAACCTTCCTAGGTAGTTGTTCCTAGTATGGTAATACCTCCAATTTGTCTGCTCACTTCTTCGAACACCTTCTTTGATAACCTCTACCTTCCCCTGCCTCTTTGTAGCAGGGAGATCTTGCAGCCTTCTTGTAGTAAAAGAAAAAATAATAATACAAATAAATTAGTGCTGGGCTGTTTAAAAATGAAGCTAGAATTTCGATGGCGTAGACTATTATCTGACGCAAGGAGCTACAGGTTAAGCAAGCAGTGCACATTAACAAAGAATATTGCCAATATCCTTCTGCTGCCAGCCTGTGTAAACAGAACTACAGCCCCTTGGAGTAGATATATTGGGGCAAATCATTGTGGATACTGAAAAGTCACCGTTTTCATCATGTTTTGGAAGGAAGATTCACACCCTCCCAGAAATCAATGCTAAGGTGAGGGAAGGCAGTCCCAGTTCTTGATCATCCCCAGAAGTTGTAGTACCCACGGTTCTTCAGCCCATCCCAACCACCCCTTGGTGACCACTACTCCCGTGCAGACGGAGATCATGAGTCACAGTTCAGAGAGGAGGCGGCATGGAAGAAGTGGTGGTTTGGATAAGAGGGACTGTGATCTCAGACCACCATAATGCGGACCTCATCGTTCTCATCCACACGGTAGAAGAAGGGGATGCAGGGGTTGCGAAGAAGAGAATTGCTGCGTTCCTGTGGGTTCTGGATCTCGCGAAGGAGTTGCATGATCTGCTTTGCCGTGGGGTCAGTGGAACTGGGGGTGGTACTTGATCCTTCTTGTGTCGCAGAGAGGCGAGATGAGATCTGAGCCTTCTCCTGTTCAGAGTCCTCCATCAAGCTAACTTCCTCCAGCACTGTGAGGACAAAAGTCATAATTAACTTTACAGTGACACTGGGCATCTTTTTTTTTTGTCCAACTCCACTAAAACAATTTTTTTCCTTTTAGTTAGAGTGGGGAAATATAAACTGTAGGGTTGTTTTACTGTCAATCTGGGGGGATAAATTTAATTTCTCCGTCATGGTGACAACACAAAAAAAAGTGACATCTCCCCAAACCTACAGCACTGAAAACTAGGAATGCACCGATATATCGGCCGCCGAAACATATTGGTCAAGAATGGCACTTTTGGCATAATGCAAACAGCGGTGCATCCGTGTATTCTCTCCTCCCCGCTGGGTGCTGCTCTGTGTCCCAGCGGGGAGGAGAGAAACTGACAGTCGGCCGAGCGCTGCGAGCTGCCATCGTCTCTCCTCCCACACATCGGCAGAGCGGTGTGTGGCCGGAGACAGCCAGCGCAGTCACAGGAGGCTGAGCTCTCCTCTCCCAGCGCTCGCTCAGCTTCCTGCGACAGCGTGTCAGGAAGGAGAGCGAGTACAAACACTCAGCAATCAAGTTGGTTACTATATCCTCCATTATGAATGGCTGGGAGTGATCTACATCGCTTCCTGTTCATTCCCGATTGTGGTTATAGTAAACACACTATGTCCTCATGTTATCAATGAACAGGAACACTCAGAGGATTCCTGTTCATTTATAACTGGGGCTGCAGAAAAAGAGAGTCCTCTCTCTTTTTCTATTTTAAAAAGGGAAATATCAGGGGTATGTTTAGATCCCTAATATTTCCCCGACACCTCTTCCCACGTATTCACTTTCACTACAATAATAGTTAACTGCTGTAAATCACATTCGGTAGACCTATCCCTTAACTTGTATGGAAGCATCCATAGATATGGTGATGTTTGAATCCAGACTTACCTTCCCCATCCGCTGCACCCAGCTCCATTGGTTTATCAGAAATAAGCGCTGTATCCCCCGTGTCCTTAAAACCTTTCGCAGCTTCCGCATACTTCTTATACCAGTCGTTCCTTTCTCCTACCAACCTCATGACCAAAACCTGCAGCTCCAGCAACTTGGCCTGGGCAGAAAAGAACACAGAGGCCAATTACAAACATAATACAGTGCAGGTATTATTATTATACAGAATGTATTTAGCGCCAACAGTTTGCACAGCACTTTACAATATAAGGAAGACATTACAATACAATTCAAGACAAGATGGTAAGGAGGGCCCTGCCCGTGAGGGCTTACAATCTAAAGGGTGGGGGAATGGCAACCAATCAAGTGTTGGGATCCCTCACCTTCATCTCCTCTTTGTCCTGAGCCAGTCGGCTGATGTAGTCTTCCTTCTCTGTGTGACGTTGTTTTAAGATGGCTCTCTGACTCTGATAAAGTGCAATGTACTCCCCTGTAGAAACATAGAATCATTTCATAGCACCGCGTCACTGTATACTGTTTTTCAGCAGCATAAAAAGGCGATTTCCAGCTTAAAGGCAACTTCCAATCCACTCTACCAGAATTGTGGCTTTTATTTTTAGTGTGTATCAAGTTAATACTGCATAATAATATTTCAGTTGCAGCAAGCTGCTGATGACCTCTAGGTAAGAACATCAGCTAGGTTGTGAAGTGCTTGTATGGCCTGTGTTTTGAATAGACCCAAGTTTCAGAGACCAGATTACGCACACAGCTGAATGACTCCTAGAAGGCACACACTGCTTCTCTTCTTACCTAGAAGAGCTGGGACCCTCTGTCATAGCTATAAACAAACATGTAAGTACTACAGGGGTCACGTATTGCAAAATCCAACATGCATGTCAAGTTTTATGAAGGTTTCCACCATATGAAATGCTTTTAATTAAAACAAAATGGTTTTGGGAAGGACAAGAAATAAATTAAGTAAGTGCCCTAACATTATAACTGCCAACAGCAGCTTTTAGGTGCCGGGGATTGTGGCAGGAATATCAGCAAAAAGTTTCCCAGCACACTCACCAGCCAGCATGCAAAAAAACTTGTCTCACTGCTAAGGTTAAAAACGGAGGTTTAGATACACGTCTTCTGCAAAAAATGTGAAAGCCACACCGCCTCGCCACCTCTATATAGTGCGGTCCTAACATGTGCTCCTAGATGGAGACTATCATAGTTTAGAGTTAGGACCGCACTATAAGAGGTGCCTTGGCGCGGCTTTCACATTTTCTGCAGACGACGTGTATCTAAACCTCCGTTTTTAACCTTAGCAGTGAGACAAGTTTTTTTGCATGCTGGCTGGTGAGTGTGCTGGGAAACTTTTTGCTGTTGTACTGTATAAAGCCCTTCCATGTGCACCGTGCTGTAAAGCTGGTGATGAATTGATGAGTGCGTTTGCCATTTGTTTTGGTTTTCAGGAATATATGACATACCCCCAACTTCAATGAGGAATTTCTATGGACAGAAGAAAGGTACCTGAACAAAATCACTACAGGGGGTTAGGAGACCTGATCTTTAACATACTGTATATAAAAAACACATCTGTTTAGAAACTTATTTAGAAAAAAGCAGCAGATGTGGGGGACTCCCGCTTATTGATGCATAGACAGTGGGACCTTAAAAATAAACTCTAGGTATGGATGTAAACTGAGTCTGGCATCTTCTACCCAGGAAACAATGGCAATCAACTCAATATACTAATAAACCTGGACTTTGTAAAAAACACTAGAGGTAGATTCAGCATGTTTATCACAGCACATCTGGACAGGACTGATGCCTCTTGTCCTTTACTTTGTAGGCTTCCTCTTTAAGTATTACAGAGGGTGGTGCTGAAACCAACACCGCAAATCAGGGCCATTTAGATGGAGTGAAAAACTCAGGTGGAGGCTTGTATAACAAGAGTGCCAAGAAGAAAAAAAGGAGCCACTCAGCAAGTAGATCCTTAAGGTCAGCGTAAATGAAACATTTATGTGTGGTTACATTGTAATTGTACCTTTAATGATGGCATTTTATAAATGTATGCAGAATATTGCTGAGCAGGCAACAATGAGCACATTACCCCTGGAGGTGGCCATTTTGGACCTCCTTTTAACCACCACTGCAGCATTGGCAGGTTGCTGTCTCCAGACGGCATTTTTTTTCTGCCCGACCAATGCAAACACCCGTTATTGGGTGTTTCACATATAGACGATTGAGCAGCGGTAAAAGCTTTTAAACTGTCGCCTATGGCCAATTTTGTGTATTAGCGTTTGAGGTTTCGCACGCGCACGCAATTTTAAGGCTTGACATGTTTGGTGTCCTTTTACCCAATGTGACCCCATCTTTTATATTTTACCAAAAAATTGGGTAATAATAAATGTTTTATCATTTAATATAGGGGAAACTGTTTTTTTTATTTTAGTAACTTCTACTGAATATAGTAAAAAATAAAACCCCCAGTGGTGAATAAATACCACCAAAAGAAAGCTCTATCTGTCCCCAAAAAAGGGTATAAAATTCATTTCAGTACAGCGCTGCATGACGGAATAAATGTCAGTCAAAGTACCGCAGCGCTGAATACTGAAAAATGGCCTGGATGGGAAGGGGGTTTAACACCGCGGATTAAAAATGCAAGCTGCCTGGATGCATTGTTTTCTGAGACACAGACCAGAAACATTTTTTGCACTGAGGAAAGTCAGAAATTCTTATATGGATACTTTGGATTTGTGAATCAGTAGAGAAGAGGGCCACCATGAAAACCAGGTGGCAAGCCTTTACAAAACGAGAAGCCTCCATTTTCTTTTTAGGAAGGATATCCTTCCCCTTAAAACAGAATTTGAGTTATTTTCTCTCCTGTTGCAGAAAGTATAGAAGCAAAATAAACACAAACCAATCGTGTCCGTCTCCCCCGACAGCTGGATACAGCGATGCTCCAACTCTTCCACCCGTTCCTTGAGCTCCACCCTCTCCTGCATCAGGCTTGTGAACCGAAACTAAGACCAAACAAAGAATAAAATGATGGCCTTCTACTGGACACAGTAAGAAATCAGAAACACAAACACATACTGTTCATAACGGTCACAATATATGGTGCCAGAGAGGAACATACAGCAGCCTTATATCACCATCTAGGGATGCAACCAACAAAATCAATTAAATCGATATTAAATCGATAATAGTTGTCAACTATTCATCGATTAGTTGGTTGGATCCCCTAGCTCTCTCCTCCACGCTGGGAGGAGGGCGCAGCAAGCAGTGGGCGGGTGCAATAGCCAACCTGCTATTGCATCAGCCCACTACAGCGATGACATTCATTCCAGTGCAAATCACAAAAAATTGTGCCTGCAGTTTTATTCTGAAGTAAACTTTATGTTTGTAACACTGCATTTGTGTATTTTAAATTACAGATGGTATTTATTAATTTTTTTTTTTCATCAGATTAAAAACGAAAAAAAAAAAAAATTGGCCAACTAATCGATTATGAAAATCATCATTAGCTGCAGCCCCATCACATGCACACACTAGTTTCATTATAGAAACAGACCAATGACATTTCTAAACTCATATTACTTCAGATGGCCACATTTTTTTCTCTGTGTAACCCCCTTTACCAAAATGACATTGCACAATGTAGCTGCACAGCCTTTGTTATTTCTCATGTTTGGCATAACGCATTTTATGTGCTTCCGACCTGAAAGTGCTGAAACAGTAATGCTAGAAGCGGGGGAAGCGACCAGGCCAAAGACACAGCTCTGGGCTGCGCAGAGGAGCACACTCTCCAAGCAGGATAGGTGGTTTTGTTTTAACAGAAGGCCTCTGACCGTGCCATGCATCTAGAGGACTACAGCAAAAAACACACTAATTCTATGCCAGAGACTCCTGATCAGAACAGAACTTAAGAACCCCGTGCTGCAAAACCACAGTATTATATGCTGCACCGGCAGGTAAAAGAACAGGTCTGAGAACAGATATGTTTCACTGGTGATATTTGATGGAGGAAGTTATGAACAAATTAGTATAAAGCTCAGAATTGGGATCAGAGTGCTCCTACCTGTAACTTCTCCATAGCACTCTGTAGAGCATCATACACCTCTCGGGGGACAGTCTCTACACCGAGTTCTGAGAACAGAAAACAAATACTGTCACTACACATTACAAAAACAGTTATTGCTGGTACATTCAGATCATACAATAGGAATCAGAATAATATAATAGTAATTTTTCACCCACACAAAGTACATCATGTAACACAGAAAGACATCAACTCCGCAGCTACTATGGCTACAAGAATTCACGTGGCGATGTAAATTAGGATTTATTGAAATGCAGACGTTGTGCTAGATGTGAAATACACGTCTTCTAACCACCTACGCAAACATTAAACTTACTTTAAGTGCAGATTGCTGAAGTTCATCAATGGGGGGTGGGGTGGGGGTGAGTGGGGAGTGCATCTATGCAAGGAAGGCCTTGTAAAATGACTGAGGCTATAATGATTTACAGCCTGTAAATGGGCATGCACTGAGTGAAAGATGGAGGATGCATTGCTGCCCAGGACCTGCCTGGCAGTCTCTGCATTGAGTTAGCATACCAGCCTAAATAACATGTCAACAGTGCAGATGTGGTCTAGATGTTGGAGCAAGAGGTACCACAAATACTCACGAAATGGAATAAGTGTCTATTGGCAGCAGCCCTCCCCAATCCCTGTCTGAACCAGCAAGTCTCTTATAATAAAACATAAAATATATCCTCTTGAAAAATAGGCTATAAGTTGAATCATTGCGATCAAGGCTGAAGGTGGGCACAGAAATAAGATACTGGTCGGATGTACAGCCAAGTCTCTTGGCTGACACACAAAACTTGGCCCTACAGAGGGAGTAAAGGAGGAAGCGTTCCCTGTAAAGGTGCCCATACACTGTACGATTCTCGTACGAGAATCGCGGAAATCCCACGATCGTATGATAATCGTACAGTGTATGGAAGGCGTGTGACCGTTTCTACTGTACGGTCGCACGTCTTCCATCGAACAAGCAGGCTGGAAAACCCGCCGGGAATCGTACGATTCTCGGCGAGTGAGTGGCCTGCTTGTTCAACAACTAACGTCTTTACAACCATCGCAAGACTAAGGTCTTGCAATGGTTGTAAAGTGTATGGCCACTTTACACTTACCTTGGTGCAAACAATAGTGATAAGACAATGTTTTATTTTCTAACCGGCCTGAAGGATCCTTCTTCCTAAGTGCGGCCAGCTGGTGCGCATTTGATGTGGTCAAGGATTTGGGCCTGGGTGACTATTTCATTTTTATATATAGATAACATATTGTCTTTGATAGTAATATCCTCTCCAGATATAATAACTATGTATATTAAAGAGCACAACTGCAATTAATACATATTTTTTATAACAGTAGTATTTGTATAGCAGTAGACCTAATTAAAAAAACTCCAATAGATATCAGTAATACCATTATTACAAAAAAGTGTAAAACCAATGTACCAGCAGTCCCCACAATGGATTACAAGGCAGCATGCAGCCATACAGAGTAAATAATCACATATGTGGTTCCAATGGGCAGAAACTGTGCCACCTTCTTGGACATTGAGCTCACACTGAGGCTTCAGTATCCTTGTTGTGGGGTATAGGCCCAGAAAACACCATCTTATAGGGACAATCTAGAAATGTTAGTTGTGCCAAAGCAATACCCTGAAAGATTTACCTTTTGTCTGGAAATTCTCCTGAAAAGCAGTGGCGCACTTCCTGTGACTAGACATTCCAGTGCTCTTAGTCTCATAGCTGTATAACTGCAGTGTGACATAATCTCAGCCACTGCTGCCTTAGCTAGTCTCAGGAGATTTGGAGTAAGATTTGGTCATTTACTACTGTACTGCTCTCCTTCCTGGAGAGAAAGCTGTACCTGAGGCCCTGCAGTACATGGATGTCCCTGCAGGGATCACCCGTCAGAGGGAGAGAAGAAAAAAGGCTTGCTCCTCCACAACAGCCACTGCCAAATAAGACACAGTGTGAAACATGGCGTGGCAAATCAGTAATGGTGAAAAGAAGAGCCGCAGGGAGAGCACTGACAATACTGTTGACCAGTCATTTGCCCTCTGCATCTTTTATTTTAGTATAGCTGTCACAGTTCAGGTCATCTTTAACCAAGTGTCCATTCTCCTAAGGAAGGAGTTAATTCCCCTCCTCCCACCGACCCACCAGAGGTCAATGTGTTCCCAATGAAATCTCAAAGAAACAGCAATATATAGACACTCACATAGCCACTTCCATGCAAAAAGCAGAACCAATTATGCCCATGAAATGACAGAGGATGTCTCATTTGTGGAATAAAAAGACATTTTTTTTCCCTGTGCAATACCTGCAGAGTGATGGAGGGGAGGAGAAAGCTGCTGCTGCTGTCGGAGTTCAGATATCTCCTGCAGAAGCTGCTTACAGGTTCTCTTCTGCTCCATGAGCTGCCTCTCTACCTCATCCCGCTCCCCATGTAACTTGGAGATAGCAGAGGAAAGGAATGTCATCTGTGGAGAATAAAACATTTATACATTGGTTTAAAGACAAGATTTTTTGACAATAAGCAGGAAGTAAAAGATGAGACGCAAACAGGCACACACACTACGTGGACATCGCCAAACACTCGTAAACATGATAACGCACCATTTCTTCTCGAGTCTCAAAATCTTCGGGAACAGCCAGTGATGTCTTAGGGATTTCATCTTCATACACTATACTTTCCACACCATCTCCTACAGCAGGAAAGGAACACTTAAGCCTTTGTTGCACAAAACACATCCAAGTAGTTAAAGCCCAAGCTCAGCCATTTCTTTTTTTGGCCAGAGAGTATGGAAGGGTTTAAACCTCAGTTAGATTCGTATTGTCATCTGTGCTCAATAAGGACACCTACAGCAATTTAAAGAACAACTCCGGTAATAACAAAACGAAACCTTTGCAGCGGGACCACCCACACTGCAAGGGTTAAGTGCTTGCTTTCATGTAGGTTCTAAAATAGCAAAGATATACTCGCCTGGCTGCTAGACCGGTCCCTGCAACCTCTCTCCCCCTTCACTCTGGTGGTCTAAGAACCCATGAGTCATCAGATCCAATATAGTGTATTGGACATAAGGATGCAGATGGACATTCCATTGCCGGAGCAGAGAGAGAAATGCTGCAGTATGCTGCGTATATCTTTATTATTTTAGATAGGGATGTCTCGATACCACTTTTTCAAGACTAAGTACTGTCCCCATGTACTTGCCGATACCAATTACCGATACTTTTCCTTAAAGGGACATGTGACATTTTTTCTAATGATTTTAGGGCAGATTCTCACCAGGGCTGTGTGCATTGGAGGTGACAGGTTCTCTTTAAGGTGACATTAGGGGTCTTTTAGACCTTCTAGTGTCACCTTTCCACTTCACTGGATTGACTGAATGTAAATACAACAGGCAGTGGCTGGGAGCAATAGCCAGCCTGCTATTGGATATTTTAAATTGCAATAGCCAATAGCAGGCTGGCTATTGCACCCACCCACTGCCTGCTGTCAGCAAAGGAGGGAACTGAAGACAAAGTTCCCCATCAGGTCCTCTTTGCTGATTGACAGCAGGCAATGGGCGGGTACCATAGCCAGCCTGCTATTGCAATTTAAAATATCCAATAGCAGGCTGGCTATTGTTACAAGTGTCCATTCCTTTTCCACTTGATGAAACTGTTTGCTTTTGGTGATATATATCTCAGTGGCAGATGTCCATGCTCCTTATGCATTTAATAATGCCCTCATCACCAGAGGTACACAGAAGTTTTCCCTCTCAATGAAAGAAGAGAAGGTCCGTTCCGTGTGAAGGCAAGATTTACAGCTTCTCTCCTCTCCTCCCCTTGAGCACACTGAACGAACATTCTCTTCTTTCATTGAGAACAGTGAAAACTGCTGTGTACATCGGGTGACTGCATTACACATAAGGAGCACGGTCATCTCAAACATTGCTCTATATCACCAAAATGAATCAGTTTCATCAAGTTGATGAGGGGACACGGAAGGACGAAAGAGCAGCAGAGGTACGGTGGGGGGGTTCAGCGGGGGAATTCAGAGTCCCAGCCATAGTCTCTTCTCCCCTCAGAGCGGAGAGAGAGAAGCTGCATTTGGTGGGAGGGGCTATGCGGGTCAATGGCCGAAGCTATTTGAAAAAACATTTAAAGGGCCAGTATCGGCTCTATGCATCGGGCATTGGCAGGAGTATGCCCTATATCGGCCCCGATACTAGTATCGTTATCGGGACATCCCTAATTTTAGAGCCTAGATGAGATCACTTAAGCCCAGAGTTCTTCTTTAAAATACAACGGTTAGTCTAACCCTTTCCCACTCTGTCAAAAACCAAATACAAAGTTTTGTTTGGAGTTGAGATTTAATAGTAATAGGACAATCTTACTAACCTTCCATCCTGCTCAGAACTCTGCTGTCTGGGTCGCTGCGGATCTGCAGTACTTGAGCTCTGAGTTCCTGGTTTTCTTTGGTGAGAAGTTCCAGACTTTCCTGAAAAACAATGCAAGATGACGTGCATCTTCCATTTGGTCCCCTATCACCCCAGGTTACCAGAGATCCTTTGCAAATCAATAAATTACACAGGGCTGTGACTCCCTTAAACCCCCCCCCCCTAAGATACCAAGCACTAAACTGTAAGGAGACAGGAAAAGTAGTCCATGCTCCTCCAAACCCAGAAGTAGCAGTTATTTCTCTGAAGTTAGAAGAATGGGGCTTTCTATATGAAAATCTGGTCTAGTGGGAATAGACCAATCCTACTAATGAGGCTGGGAAACTGGCGTGGATCTTCCATGCATCAGTACTCACTCTACTCTGCTGTAGCTCCTTGAGGTGCATTTCCACACTGACTTTTCCCTGCACCTCATCGTGCTGTAACCTGTCCATGAGCTGAGCCTGCAACAGATATTGTCTTTGGATTTCTTCTCTCTCTATGGATACTTGCTGGTAGGCTGCTACATATTGCTGAAGATGGGCGGAAATTTCATCTCGCTGTGCCGTCAGTAGCTGAACTTCTTGATCCTTTATGGCAAGCTAGAGTACAAAAAATGATCCCAATGTGAATCCTGCTATGATCCAGGCAGATTGCTCCATTGTGCCCCCCTAGAGCCAGCCTTACCTGCTCTTTAAAATCACCCAGGCTTTCTTGCAATTGTCCCAGCCTTTTGGCCAGTTCTTTCTTCACATGCTGCTCGCTCTGTAGTCCATTTGTGAGTTCAAGGTTTTCATTTGTCTATTCAAGAAAAAATAATAAACACATTGAAATAAGATTAAAGCCAGTACAAAATCCACTATACAGCTGTGTAATGTTTGGTGTGGTTCACTTTCCACCACTGAAATTTCAGGAAAGCTACATGGAAGATGCCCTGTGCAAAGGTCTTAATGAAAGAGTGAAAGGCCAGAGGTCTCAAACAAAGTAGAAAAGGCAGAAACCTGACCCTTGACAGTGCTGAGAGCCAAACGCTGGTCCAGACCCAGCTGCAGGATGGAGAGAAATGTGAAATATGTCTTCCATGTCAGACAATACACCTTGCAAAGAGTGGACTTCCAAGCTTTTAGCATTGTAGAAATCACAGACTTCGAAATGCCTCTGACCCTCAGAACCTAATGCCTTTGAAACCAGTGACCGTAAAGAGATGGCAAATTGGTTGTTAAGCTATCAAATCTTGACGATCTAGTAAAGCCCACGCAGTGAAAAGTCTGACCAGGTCAGTATATCACATCTGTCCTCCAAATTGATCCTGAGAAGTACATAATGAAGACATTTTAGGGGAGAATGTATGGATTAAGGTGTACTGATCTCATAGAGCCACCAGAGCATCCACTGCTTCTGCTAGAGAGTCTCTGTACCTGAAGAAAAACCTGTCCAGTCTGTTGTTGTACCTGGAGGTCCACAGCTGGTATCCCTCACCCGTCAGACAGGTCCTGGAACACCTCCAGGTAAAGGGACCACTCCCCCAAGAACAGGCACTGCTGGCTGGAATTGACAAGGCTAGGAAGGGAAGCACTGCCCATGACAGGAACTGATCTACCTCTTTTGCCACAGCAAGACTTCTGGTTCCTCCCCAAAGATTGTTGAACGCCACCGCTATGGCATTGTCTGACTGAATCTGGATCAGATAAACCTCCAGTAAGATGGTTTAATGCTGCAAAGAGCCAAAATGTCCCAAGTTCCAGGATATTGATCAGGAGATGAGACTCCAACAACCAAGTCCCCTGCACTAACAGTGTGCCCAGGACTCCTTTTCAGTCTGACAGGCTGGCATCTATTGTGAGGATACTCCAAAAGATAGGAAGGCAGGACCCCAACTCCAGAGCCAGATTCATGAGCCAACAAGCCAGGGGCAACTGGTCCTTAGTGACAAACAAATCAGGTCAACTTGTCCCACAATGTCAGAATATTGTGTTGTGGAGGTCGGATGTGAAAATGGGCAAATGGCACAGGGTCCAAAGAGCCCACCATGACACCTCATGCAAAAGGTGTAGAGTCGGATGGCTCCAGGAACTGAAGCGTTTGAGACCAAGGTCGGAGAGCCTGAAGTTTCTCCTGTGTAAGGAACACTCTGGCCTTAGCTATGTCAAAGACTATACTCTAAACGATTAATCGGTTCCAGCAACTGAGTCTTAGAACTCATCCGAACTGCTGTAATGTGTGGGCAGTCAGACAAGTTGGCCAACACCAGGTGATAACTAGGGCTGCAACGAATGATTTTCATAATTGATTAGTTGGCTGATAATTTTTTCCATAAAATTGTATATCAAAGTTTACTTCAGAATAAAACTGCATGCACAATTAGCAATCGCACTGCACTGAAACGCACGGCATTGCGGTACCGTGCGTTCCAGTGCGGGCAATCACACTGTGGGTGAGAGGCGGGTTTGGGGTGCCATTGAAACAAATGCACCTCCCGCAGCAGAATTTGTAAGGCCAAAACCAAAAATGACTTTTCCCACCTTTTATTTAAATAAATTGTATTGTAAGCACATGGCACTTGACTAGCTTCAGCCAGGGAATGGCAGCTACCAGGGGCAAGATTCCACAGATGGCAGCTGAATGTAGGTACAGCAGGTAGTGGGCTGGCGCAATAGCCAGCCTGCTGCTGGCAATTGCAGCGTGAAATGGCCAATAGCAAGATGGCTATTGCACCTGCCCACTGCTTGCTGTGCCCTTCTCCCAGTGTGGAGGAGAGAGCTGGGGGATCGAGCCAACTAATCAATGAGAATAGTTGACAACTATTCTCATTATTGATTAATCGGTTGCAGCCCTAGTAATGACTGCTCAACAGAAAGCCATCCAGTATCCCCCAATGGGGATGCCATGAGATCAGGGCTAACACTGAAGCCTGGACCTTGGGGAATACCCTGCATGCAGGCAAGAGGCAGAAGGGCAAGGCCATGAAGGGGCAGGAAGGTGTAAGACATGCTGATGCACTGGAAAGAAGGGGAGAGGAAGGTCTGTACTGCAAGGGTTAAAAGGAGAACTATGGGGAAAAACACTGACCCCATAGTTCTCCTTTAAGGGTTTACATCTAGGTGAGAAAATAAAGCTATACTCACTCAAATATCAAAGCTGGCTTGGCTGTTGGACTGGTCCCTGTAGCCTCACTCCCTCACCGCTCTATCGGTCTAATGTCCCGTGAGTCATCACGTCCAATTCAGTTCATTAGACGCGAGGATGCCGAGGGACACTGGTTAAGATTATTTTTCCCTGGAGTTGTTCTTTAAAACAAGGATACCACTAGGAGGTTTACACTACATAAATACTGTATTTCAATGTTATTAGTTCGGGTGTTATAATTCCTGTATAACAATCAAAGTTGCAGTGGAAGCTGCAGCGAAACAACGTTGTAAGATTTTGTATAAATCGTCTGTGATCAAAGATTCTGTGAATACCATGAAAACAATCCTGCAAGGTCCAAATTTAAAAAGTGCTGACAGGCAGACTTCATCACAGAAAAGACTGTGTAGGTCTCTTCTGCCATTGAGGCTTCTTACCCGCTTGTCAGCACTTTTTTTCGTTTTGTTTCTGTACGCTGGTCTGTGCATGCGTAGATTAGTGTACAGGATCGACGATTCTTTGCTGAGATGAAGTAACATAGTCCCAGCCCAAGCAAGCAAGCAGGCACACTCAAAACCCAGAAGACAACCAGGAGAAGATGGGAGCGCCTCAAAGGGAGGAGAGTGCAGACATGGTAGCGCTGAAGGGGATCAGATTGCCAGGTAAGACTGCCATAATGTGCGAATATGAGTGCACACTAACACTTTATGGCTAACAGCTGCTGGTGCATCCCCCCTTTTTCTTAAAGGAGACTTTACTTACACTTTAAAGTGCTGTGTAAATGCAGAGAACCAGAATTCTGTGCTTTTGATTCTTATGACTTAAGCATTACAGTTCTTGCTTGTGCAAAATGCAAGGTCCCATGTAATTTCTCCATGACTAGAGATTGATTGCTATACAAGAATCCAATGTGATGCATTATAAGCACAACACAGTGAAGCGCTGTACAGACATGGAGGGCCAGTATTGTTATGCCTTCGTTCATATAAAACAGGCATTGTAGTTATTGTGTTATGCTTCCTCCATACCTGGAGGCTTTGTCGTTACTGTGTAACAATCCAGTCAAATACTGTGCAAATGCATTCCTATACCGACTGTTTAGAATCTTGCTGACTTGCAGCATTTATAGCAATCAATCACATCCAGATCTTGGTTTAGGCCCAGTAGTTGTCCATAACCAAAAGCCACAAATTCACCAAAATCGTAAGATTATTCCCAATATGATTCAGCCATTTGTACAACAGATCCATTGAAAATGCAGCATTAAAACAGTCACGTAACATGATCTATATCCATATGCTGGATTAGGCATCTTGAGTAGATGTACTCCACAGCCGACTGGATTATTGGTTACATAGAAAGATCTTTTTTTTGTGATAGAGAGGAGTTTGAGCATGAAACAGGTTTCTAAAAGTCACGTTAAACAGGTGCTAAATGTTGTGGAGAGTTAGGTTATGGCATGCTGTCTCTGTATAGTTTTCTCTTTGCGGCTTGTTTTCTGTGCGTTTCAACATCTCAGAACAATACAGATGGTCTCTACCTGTCCTATGACAAAGACATGCCTTGGCTAGATACATACACAAAGAAGGGTTTTACGCTATGTAAACTGGGGTTCCCATTTGCCCGGAAGGTTTTGACATCAATTTAATTAACACTTACTGTGAAAACACAAGGACACATCTATGCAAGACACATTCTGTCACAGAAAAAAACAAGTACATCAAGGGCTCAATGTCTGGCACATGCAAGTGTCTTACCAGTTTAACAAATCCATTCTGGAACTCAGCCAGTTGTTCTTTCAGCTGCCTGTTCTGGGTCAGCGCCCGGCTGATGGTGGCTTTGTCACTCTGCATGTTTTCCAGTATCTGCTGTTTATCCACATTGTCCTCGCTCTGCCGTTGTACTGACTTCTCCAGCTCCAGCAGGCGCTCCTCCTGCTCCTGGTTGAGGCGACTCAGCTGGCTGTTGTCCTGCACCAGGGCCCGATACCTGGACTGCAGCTCTTGAAATTCTTGTTGTAGCTTCTCCACCTCTCTCTGAAGAGCCTGCTCCTCCTCAGAAGGGCCCTGCTGTGCAGGGGGCTCTGTGTCGGCAGATTCCGCTGCTGTAAATTAGCAGAGAGACAAATTGCATTATCTGCAAAAATGACTGTATCAGGACCAAGTCTTCACATCACTGTGTACCTGATGCAAGTAGTAGCTCTGTCACTCGGGTCTCCAACTGCTCAACTTGGACACGTGCACTATCCTTCTCTTGGCTGAGGGTTTGTATCTAGGAAAAAAACAGTAATATTAATTCACTTAAGATGAGGGTAATATTTCGCACATACTAGCCAAACTAGCAGGCAAGGTAAAGGATATTACAAAATGGTTAAAGTGTATGTAAACCCCAACAATGAACTTATTCGCTTCCTTTTGGTCTGTTAAATAAAACCACTGAAATAGTTTTGTTACAGGAGTTCAATAAATGAAAAAAATACTTAGTGGTCCTGTCAGAAATTCAGTGCTGTCCTGTGTCTTGTGCACAATTCCTGTGAATCTGATTAGTCTACCTAGTTATTATCTTGGGACTACAGAATGATTAGTCTCCATGTTGTGGAGAATGTGATAGGACAGTTTAAGTAGTTTAGTTTAAAAACAGGGCAGGGCTGACACCACCCCATCCACAAAAAAAAGTTGTCAGCCCGCAACATGACTTAGAAACGGAGTGCATTTGTGGCAGAACAAGAAGTATTTTTCTGTACTTGCAAGTTCTTTAATGGGGAAATGTGCATGTATTGAAGAACTGTACTAATATATTTTTTTTTTTATCATTTATTTTGCCCTGACATACCTCTCTAAATAAGTGTTTTAGTGTGCCGCACGTGCAGAGTGTAGGCTGTATGACGGATTTAAGAACAGTATTATTCATGGGCATAGTACTGGAATATTTAGCGTATAAATTATACGAGTACGTTGCCAAGTACATTTGACAGTTTGTCTCTTCATTCTAAAGTGTGCCCTTTCTGCAGCAGAAACATTTGGGGATATAGAAAACAATGCTAAAGACATTTTTTAGGGATCAATTTATGCTGGAGAATAATGTGCATGGAATGACGAGGAGGCGTTCAGGTGGTATGACGGGGAGCCATGCGCAGGAGAGGCGTTCAGCTGGTATGACGGGGAGCCATGCGCAGGAGAGGCGTTCAGCTGGTATGACGGGGAGCCATGCGCAGGAGAGGCGTTCAGGCGGTATGACGGGGAGGCATGCGCAGGAGAGGCGTTCAGGCGGTATGACAGGGAGGCATGCGCAGGAGAGGCATTCGGGTGGTAGAGGGTATGACTAGGGGGAATATAAGCAGAAGAGTAGTGTGAAGGGTATGACAAGGGAGAGGTATGAGCAAGAGGAGTGCAGAGGGTAAGACAGCAAGCAGTATGTGCAGAAGAGTAGTGAAGGAGGTCTAACAGGGGGAGGTATGTGCAGGAGAGGAGTTTGGTGGGTATGAAAAGGAGGTATGTGGAAGAGAGGTGGGACTGCAGAGCGTAAGACAGCAAGCAGTATGTGCATTCGAGTAGTGTAGAGGGTACAAGAGAGATTAGGAGTGTAAGACAGCAGGCATTATGTGCAGAAGGGTAGTGTAAAGGGTATGACAGGGGGGAGGTATGTGCAAGGGAGGAGTGCAGAGGGTATGACAGCAGGCAGTATGTGCAGAAGAGTAGTGAAGAGGGTTATGACAGGGAGAGCTATGTGCGAGAGATGAGTTTGGAGAGTATGACAGGGGGAAGTATATGCAGGAGAGGAGTGCAGGAAGTATGACAAGGGAGGCAGGGGTGTGGAATTCCTATCGCCCGATGCCCGGGACATGTAGTTTCGGGCGCCGGGCGAGTAGTTTTTATGTACATTTAGCCCGGCTCCGGACAAGCAGAGCTGAATGTACAGTGTGGAGCCGCCGCCGCTCGTTTGATACAAGTGATCTGATCAGACCACTTGTATCAATTTGAGCAGCGGCGATAGTTTCTGCCCGCACCCCCCGCCGTAGTTTTCTGGGTCCCTCGCTCTCCTGGGGGACCCCGAAAACTACGGCACAATGGCTCAGCCATAGAGCCCGTAGAGCAGGCGAAGAACATCTGCTCTACGGGCTTTTTGTGTTCTCTGAGACCGTGGCGCTGTAATCACAGCGCCACCTGTCTCGGCTGTCAGGAACTACACAGAACAGCTGTTCTGTGTTGGAGGGCAGGTTCCATAAAGAGAACCTGTCACCTCCAAACCATCACATAAAGGATTTTAATCTCCTATGTGATAAGAACATTAAATGGAAAAAGTAAATAAATAGAAATTTTAAGAAAATGTAAAAATTAAAAAAAAATTATAAAAAACAAAGATTTAAAAAATAAAAATGAAAGTAAAAAATAAAAAAAAATAAAAATGAAACCCTGCTGCCCCCGCCATCTGCATGCAAATAAACGCATGCGTAGGACATTCTGCATGTGTTTTGAGATTACAGCCGCCATTCCATGGTGGTAGCCAGAATTCTCTTACACACACACAATGTGCATTAAAGGGTAAGTTCATTTTCCCAGGTAATATGGAAAAATAGAAATTATCCGATTAAATCTGGCCCCGTCTCTCCCAAACTGCCACCCCCCTAGCTATACTTACCTTTCGGCGAACAATCCCTCCCCTCCGCCAGTATGGGTGTACCATCTGTCCCCCGTACTGCTGTTCAACGCAGTCCTCCCCTATGCATTTTGAATTTCGCTCGCAAATTGCAAGCACTCATTGGTCAACGTGGTCAGGTGACTGCGCTGACAAGTGAGAAGCACTATTTAGCACAGTCAAATATGTGCGTTATAATTATGCTCGTGCAGAAAGTTTAAAAAAAGAATTTAATCGTTAATTGCACAGCCCTATTATAAAGCATGGAGATAGAACCTCGGTCATGTTTTCATTGCTGTCTGTATATTCCTGTTCTAGTGACCTTCATTCTTGCCTTTGTGTCAAGGGGACATAGGTGGCTAATAATTGGGATACGTTTTAACCTTTCAACAATCTTTGACCCAAAACCACTGAAATTGTTTTGTTACAGGAGTAAGACCCAAGACCCAACAAAACACTTTGGCAGAAGTTTTGCTTCAATTAAACCAGTGGTCACCGACCAAAGTGGATCACCGAATACAAGCTGGTGGGTCACAGAAAAGAGGTTAGAAAATAACCAGAAAGGCAATACCCACTTGATCAGACAGCTGACGGACTCTTTCTTGCCAGATAGCACCCTCTTCCTTCAGTTTCCCCACATACTGGTCTCTTTCTGCCGTCAGTTGTTGAAGAGAATTTGACATCTATAAATGAGGAATAAAATAATGATTCAAATACTTATGTTTCCTGGAGAAAATGCTGCACTTGGCTACCCTCATATGCCCAAAATTCTAGGAGTTTGGTCACATGATCTGTGCTGAATGCTGGGATCAGAGTACATACTGGCTGGTCTTCCATTTAAGCAGAGATCATTTGATCAAATGTCTATGTATTTGGTTTTAGTCGCACACTGCAAAGCACTTGAAGCTGCATTGCTTGGGCAGAACATTAATCCATTGCTTTGCTCTACAATTATCTATTCCAGTAAAACTGGAATGGGTTTGTTTTTTTAATTGCAGCTATAAAAAAACATGACTAAAGTTTATTTTTCAGCTGTTGAACTAAAAACAGACTGGAGAGACTTTCCCAGGAAAATAATGGCATCTACATTTGTAATTAATTCATGATGATAATGTAACAGTTAGGGATGCACCGATACTAGTATCGGTGCCGATACCAAGTATTTGGGTGAGTACTCGTACTCCCCCAAATACTCCGATACCTAGAACGAGTACTTCCTGTATCAGGAAGCCGGGCAGCGCATCATTACACGCTGCCCGGTTTCCTGATTGGCCAGGAAACGGCTCCATGATCTCTCGTCACTTGTGATGAGAGAGCATGGAGTCGACTTCCCGGCCGAACAGGAAGCCGGGTAGCGTGCAATGACGCACTGCCCGGCTTCCCGATTGATAAGGAAGCTAGCAAATCCGGAAGCCGGGCGACGCGTAATGACGCAGCGCCCGGCATTCTGATTGGCCGGGAAGCCGGCGTCATGCTCCCTCGTCATCTCATGAATCATAATATTAAGAAAGTGACCTTAAAAGCATTAGTTTGTATTGCTTTAGAAAAAATGTGACCTGTCCCTTTAAGAAAAAGTATCGGTAATTGGTATCTGCGAGTACTTGATCAAAAGTATCAGTACTCCGTCTTAAAAAAGTGGTATCGGTGCATCCCTAGTAACAGTCATTTCTGGGGTATTAGCACTACTTACATGAGGAGGTTGGAATGAACCTGTTGGACATGATCAGTTATATGGAAAAAGTTGTCCCAAGCAGAGAGAATTGACAAGAATTATCTGTATCCAGGAATTCAGTATACAATAAGTGGCCGTATTCATGTTTCATAAGAATGTTACCTGTGCTAGCTGGGTACCCAGTTGATCTCTCTCTTCCAGGACCATCAGAAGCTGCTGATTCGCATCTGGCGTCCCCGTCTGATTAGAAAACTTTAAAAAACAAAAGAAAAAGTGATGTAGACAAATGTAAACATAAAATGATGGGCTTCGAAATTACTCTAAATGTACATCTTCTGTGGCGATGCCCCAAACTGGTTCGTTACTGAATGGATGTTGCAGAAGCTATATACTCTGTTCTCGGTCAGGTTCCCCTGCTCTCCTAAGGCCTGCCTAATTGGGATCATTTAGGTTTCCGACCTTTGGGATGATATGATTGACTGCTGTATCCAGGGCTCTGTTTGTAGCACACAGACTTATTGCGCTTAAGTGGATATCCCCTAGCGTCCCGACGATAGCAATGAGGGCTATGATATTTGCCGATAAGCACCCTGGTGGTTACAGGATAATTTACAATAGATTTTATCTATGGAGGTAAACTGTGCATTACTTGGGGAGGTTACACATCTCTAAGGGGCGGTCTTTGTTGATGCCTTCCTCACTTGGACCGGTATTTCCCCTTTTTTTTGCCTTGGTATCTGGTCTAATGGTGGTTAGATGACTTGATGATGATTAGGAGTCTCTAATGTCAGTTCATTGACCTACTGAAGATTCTTTTTCATTTTTTGCATTTCACTCTAACTGTTGTATTTCTTAGATGTTTGCATTATTGTGATGCACCTTGTTACGGTAATTTGTATAAAACTTTTAATAAAAACTATGATTAAAAAAAACATAACACATTGTATTTATTTCGAATATCCAATCGTGTGCAGATGAAGTAAACAGGCACTTATGTTTCCCATGATTGGACACTTGAAGGGAATCACACAATTTATAGTGTGAGCTACACTTGTGCTCATAAGTTTACATAGCCTGGCAGAATTTATGATTTCCTGGCCATTTTTCAGAGAATATATATGATAAAACGAAAACCTGTCACTCATGGGTAGTGTTTGGCTGAAGCCATTTATTATCAATTAACTGTGTTTACTCTTTTCCAAATCATAATGACAACAGAAACTACTGATCAAAAGTTTACATACCCCAGTTCTTAATACGGTGTGTTGCAAGCTTTAACACCAATGACAGCTTGAAGTCTTTTGTGGTATGTCTGAATGAGGCTCTTTATCTTCTCAGATGGTAAAGCTGCCCATTCTTCCTGGCAAAAAGCCTCCAGGTCCTGTAAAATCTTGGGCTGTCTTGCATGAACTGCACGTTTGAGATCTCCCCAGAGTGGCTCAATGATATTGAGGTCAGGAGACTGCGATGCAGTATTCTCAATTCCTTGGATATCTTTTTATATCCCTTTCCTGTTCTATACAGTTCAACTACCTTTTCCCGCATGTCTTTTGACAAATCTTTTGCTTTCCCCAGGACTCAGAATCCAGACACGTCAGTGCATCACGGGATGAAGGAAGCAAGGGTCTGTCAGGAGGCCAGAAACTCATTGGCCTTTTATACACACACACTGATTACATGCAAACAGATCACAGGTGAGGATGGTTCCCTTTAATAGCCATTCACACCCCTTTGTGTGAACCTGTGTGCATGTTATCAGGCCAAAATCACCAGGGTGTGTCAACTTTTGATCAGGGTCATTTGGGTAGTACCCATGAGGGACAGAAAGGTTTTCGTGTTATCATTCATATTCTCTGAAAAATGGCCAGGAAATCATAAATTCTGCCAGGGTATGAGCACAACTGTATAATATGAAATCTTTTAGTAAAGCGGCCTCAAAGGCCGAAGCTATGACTATTTGGGGACATGGAAAAGGCTCCCAGAGCAGCTCCCCCTGAGAACGAGAAGGCTGGTATAGACTTTCATACTGGTGGAATAACACGTCTCACTATGTCGCCCAGAAGAAGGGACCCTGCGTGGCCACGAAATGTTGGCCCTTTGACGCATGTGACAATTTAATGAAAAGTGCTTTACTTCTTGCACATATCATCGAGTGCTGGTGACTTCTATTATGGAATGTATCTGACACGGCACCATCCGTGTTGTCACTTCAAGCACCAACCTCTCATCCAAGGTCTGTACACCGTATGGAGTGCAGGCGATTTTGTATTATCTACAAGCACAGACTGACTTGGGCCTCCTCAATAATGTCATTTGTGTCAAAGGACCACCTACCAAGAAGTCCGAATCAGCTTTCCACCTCCAGACATCAAAATGTTATTTCACCAGTAGAAATATTTTGTTTGCATTAAAGCTTACCTGCTGAATCATAAGTTCTGCCATTTCAAGCTTCTTGCGCAGATCCCCCAGCTCCAGCTTCATGGCAGCATTCTCAGAGAGCAGTGCATTCAGTTTCTCTGACAATTCAGAATTCTGCTGCTTCAGCTCTTCGCTGCACTTACTGTGTGAGAAGATAAGGACAAACATGACATGGCTGACCTCTTTTAATCTCTTCAGACTTTAAGGCTGAAGCACAAGAAATTACCTGTTCTTTAATGATTCCAGTCGCAGGTTGTCACGGTCTTTCTCCAGTTCTTTATTAAGCTGAAAATCAAAGGCAAACGCTCAAGATTACTAAAAATAACCAAGCCATCACCAGGAGCATCAAAGTAGCTGCCAAAATATTGCCTGGTATCTGTGGCACAAACAATGCAGCGTTTTAGAAATTCTGGTATGTGCTACACAACATCTATCCAAGAGCACAAACTGTAACCAGCACGATGCAGTAGTGCCTTCTTACAGGATTCCGAGTGCCCAGCTTTCCTAGGAGACAGCGATAGGGCACAGTCAAGTTACTCGCACCTACTGGAAGTGTAATAAGCCAGGGCCGAGGCAGGCACATTTTCAATAGCGTTTCGAGTAAAACAGACCTTCCTGTTTTATGGAAGGCATGCTTTAAACATTCACTACTTTAAAAATAAAAAATGTTTTTGGCTTTAAATAAAACTTTAATACTGTAATTGTGTCTGACAATTACAAGTATTAAACACATATTGCACTGAAACCGCCACTGAAGCCTGAAGGTGGTGCTGTTTACTTGCTGGCTGAAGGGTTTTCCAAATGAAGCTTGCAGTACATTGATCATATGATTAGAAACAACACTAACTGGTTTGCGTTTGTCAGGGGGAACCTGGGCAGTCAGTGGCAGGTGGGATTTAGAGCCACCAACAAAGTGCCCAGGGACCTTTATTAACATATGCCCATATGGGGGCATCATCCAGGGGGACATTATACAGACTACTGTGCATTTAAATGTGATTTTTCTTCTAATTGGCGTTAAGACACTTGAGAGCACCGTGCATTCTGGGGAAGAACAATTAATCACACCATTAGCCACTTACTGCTAATAAATGCATGTATTTGACAGGTTCAGGTAAGGAGCCTGCAGTAACTGATAACCCATCCTCAGAAATCAGCTTCTGTTAAATGATCTGGTTGATTGTTATAGGTTATTGCATAATATTGCTCTTTATTGAAGAATTCTGTACATCCAGTAAAATGAGATCCATAGAAAGGTGTTCTTTATTCTTTGCATGTATGTTTTGGTTCCACCATTACCTTTTCTAGCTGCTTCTGCTGAGCAGAGAGGGAGGACAGTGTACGTTCCAGCTCTGTTACTCTCTGTCGGGTGGACTGTAACCGCATGACAAGATCCTCCACCTCCGCTATGAGAACAGAAAGAAGGGTTTATTATGGTAGATATGCACCGGAATGACATTTTTAGACAGACGCCAAAAATAATTAGATCTCTCTCTAGAGATCGATAGATGCATCCAAAACTGGCTTTTCCAACATTTTTAAAATTATTTTACTTTACTATCGGGTAAAAATCAGGGGTCTAAACAGACCCCTGATATTTCTCTTTTAAAATAGAAAACGATTGAGGACACAGTTTTCTGCAGCCCCTGTTATGAATGAACACGAAGCCTCTATACTGATTACTCCTGTCCATTCATAAACTGTGGAGCTAGTATCAGTTACTATGTCCACAATCGTGAATGAACAGGAAGTGATGTATAGCACTTCCTGTTCATTCATAACTGGGGACACAGTAAGCACACTATATGTCCTCAGTTATTTACAAACACAAGAGATCAGTCCTGATCGCCGAGTGCTTGTAACCTGCTCTCCATCCTGACTCGCCTGTCATAGGATGCTGAGCAAGAGGTACGGGGAGAAGAGTTTCCCGTGACAGCCAATAGCTGTCTCCGCCTTGCACCGCCCTGTTCGGCATCCTGACAGCTTCTCTCCTCCCTGCAAGGCGTCGGTCCGTGTTCCCTCAGATGTTGGCTGCCTCTGCCGACTCAGGCAAGAGAGCAGCAGGGATTGGAGGGGGACACAGACCATGCTCAGCAGGGAGGAGAAAAGCTAGGGATGCACTGAAGTTTCGGCCATGTTGGCACTATCTGTATTTTGCTCATAGTACCATTTTCAGATGAGATTTCAGTGCATCCCTAGTTTATGGCCATTTGATAAATATAAAACAGGGCTCATGGAACAATTATGGTAACAATTAGGGATGTCCCGATACCTGTACTAGCATCGGTATCAGGACCGATGACCAATACAGTGCATTTTGACAAGTACTTGTACTTGTCAAAATGCCCCGATACATAGCGGCGAAGCTTGCGCTATGGGTTTTTTTTCTTGCCTCGCCGAGCGTCACGTCACTGCTGCCCCGGTGGACGGCGCTCCAGGTGGGGGGTCCTAATTTAGGTGGCCAGCGACTGCCTAGACTAGAGGATCACACTCGGAACGCCGCCCACCCTCCTCTTCAGCTCAGCGCCGTCCTTCAGTGCTGGCGAGTCAGCACTGGTCCAGGTGGGATCTTTATTTAGCTGGCCGGCACCTCTCTGTAGTTTAGCAGACACCATGTGTAATGTATATGTAATACATATATACACAGCACACCCCCCCACTACACTACAGCAATAGATTTACAATTCTCCCCTGCTAACATGAATAGGTTAAATCATGATCCATAGTACATAACATGTAGTTGTACTATGGATCATTTAAAGTCACCCGTCCCTTTAAGAAAAGGTATCGGTAATTGGTATCGGCAAGTACATGAGGGAAAGTACTTGGTCCTGAAAAAGTGGTATCGGGACAATCCAAGTAACAATCATATAAGGAATGTGAACTCTTTATGCATGAAATGATTGTACATTAAATAAGGAAATAATACTCTCCAAAAAAAAAAAACCACACCCTGCAAAATGAATCTGCATATAGCAGTATAATGTTATCACATAACATATGAGCTATCATACCCTATCAATAGTCTCTCTCCCCCCCCACAGGCTTCCTTTAAAAGGTGTATGCTTAACCAAAACTCTGCATTGGAAGCTGCAACAAGTCAGACAGAGCCCGCCTCATTTCCTGGCTGGAGGACATCTAGCATCATCTGACTTGATCCTCCTCAGCCTAACTTTCCCTAGTCTGCCCCCTTTGTTCACTGGATTTCTGTTCTGAATGTAGGCATTACCTTCGGTGGTCTATATGCAAATGCTGTATGCCTAGGAATGCCCACTCCTCCAGAATGACATCCAGCCATCAATGCATTTTGATATCTGCACAACTCCTGCCCACAAGATCCAGCCCACCGCTTGCATCAGGACTGAGGGCTTTAGAAAGATGCTATGTACAGCACCCTGCTGACCCCTCTCACCAGCCATGATCTGTCGGTACTTCTCTGTGCAATGCAGAGACCCAGTGATGACATCACTGGATATAAAATAATGTAATAAATATGGAAAGGTTTTAATTAAATATTAGCATTTTGATGGGGGGGGGGTTAACTGCAGAAGAACCTTGTTTGCCATTTGATTTTAAAACCAAAGCCGCAGTGCTATTGTAAAGGTTATAAACAATTGAAGTATACCTCCTTTCTGACGTGCTGCCTGCTGTGTAAACGACAGGGCAGTCTGCAACTCAGACTTTTCAGATACCAAAATTCCAATTGTCTGGATGTGAACCTGAGGACAAATATTATTTTAGTACGTGTAAAAGAGATGATCAAAACAGAGGAAATCCTCGATATGTAGATTCTTTAGGGACATGCAAAACAAGAGACCATTTACATTATGCTTCTCACCTGCAGCTGTTCTCGAAGGGCACTTTGCTCCTTAGAAAACCTCTGATCAAACACCTTTCTTTCCTGCAAGAAACAATAGATTCACAAACCCATATAAGAGATAAAGAAAACAGCGCAGAGAACCAATTTTTTAAATCAAAATTACATTTTACCTTGTCCAGCTTCTCCATAACATCTTGGTTCTGTAGTTTCTAGTTAACAGACAAAACAAAATACTTTATCTTAAAAAAAAAAAAAAAAAAAAGAGAAGAAGAAGTAGTACACTGTACACAGAATGCGCAGTTATATGAAGCGGCACATTAACCAGTTAATCGGTAGATTGAAATGCGCACTGCAATATGCACTTTTTGAAGTAAAATTAAAATTTTGAGACTTCCTGTATGAAGTACTGATTCTTTCCCAGAAGCAGCTGCAGGAAGTCATGCCACTGTGATAGCCAATCAATCTGTAAAATGACCTGGGAAAGATGCACCAAGTAAAGAGGTGACATGTATATGTAAACCCCAAACAATGATCTCCTATTTGCTTCCTTTTGGTCTGGGAAAGCATATGTAAAGCCAAAACGTTTTTTTATTTGACAGAGCAGGAAGAGGTTATTCCACATAAGGTTATTTTTTGCTCTCTGTATCCCTTTTTAATCTCACCTTTTGGTGACAACTCTATTTAGGGATTTATCCTCATTTTATGTCTTGGTGACAAAGAGAAAAATAGGGGTGAATCTCCCCAGCAAGTCCACAGACCGCAATAAAAACTTGAAGCACACAAAAATAGCACGGACAGCGCTCTCGGATTGAACCTGGGGAAATGAATGAAGTAGCTCTACCTAGCCTGCGGCCCTGGGAGACAGGAGGAGTACCTGTGCTTGTGAAACAAAAATAACAAACGTGTTGTTCTTTTTAATAAAAACTTGAGTAACCCTTCCCGAAATGAAAAGGAAGTTTTGCCTTTACTTACACTTTAAATACAAACAACTGAAAGAATTATAGTAATATCTGATCTTAAAGCGCTAAAAATATACCTACCTGTTGATTCTTTCAGAAATCCAAATCTGTCCTGTGCACTCTGTGTGCTCTCAAGGAGTCTAATCAGTCCTCCGAGTTCTCATCTTGGACAACAAAACAATTAACTCCTATGCCAGGTGTGGGCAAACTCCAGCCCTCCAGCTGTTGTGGAACTACAAGTTCCATGAGGCATTGCAAGAATCTCACAGCCACGACTGAGACAGATGCATCATGGGATTTGTAATTTCTCCACAGCTGGACGGATGGAGTTTGCCCACCCCTGCCCTATGCTGTGGAGATGGGAATGGGTTCTGTAATTTATCAGACACCAGCCCACAATTTCAGTGCAGAAAAGGCACACATCAGGGAATTAGGAGCCGAGAGCATTTAGGCAGACCAACAGGTATTTTTCTGTACTGGGAGGATATTTAATGGAAGTATTAGGGAGGAGGAAAAAAAAGAAAAACTCTTCCCAATTCTTAGAGCTGGAATGTGACACTGCAGCTATCAAACCCCAACTCTATAGAGGAGCTAAGCAATCACAAACCACTGATTGCTCAGCTCATGGTCTTCCCCCTGCAGAGAGTAGTGACGGTCGGTCACCGCACCCCACAGGGATACCAGTTTCTCTACTCCTCTCCAGTGCTCATTAGAGGGACAGAAAGAGAAGGGGGCAGCTGGCTCTATAGAGGAAGAGCCAGCTATCAGACAGCAGGGTGGATCCTGACAATATTTTTGGGATCCTTCCCAGGTGCAGCGCTGTCGGCATATAGCAGACATTAGCCTATTATATGCGGAATTTAGGTCACATTAGTAAAAGGTCCTCCTGTGACCCTAAAAAGGAACTACCACTAAAAAAAGGTTTGGCTTTAGTTGACTTTTAAAGGGGTAAAACATGATAAAAATGAGCATATACTGCAGAGATGTTCTGCATATGGTTTTGTTTTATATTGCCCCCAAAAACATGCAGCCCTTCCAAGACTATGCTTAGCTGGCATTTGAATCTGTAGAATCATCTTCAAATGCGTGACCGGAATTAGTGTACGATTAGCATAGTCCAAACAAGCTCCGTTTTTGTTTTTCCTCCCACTGCCTACTCCCTATAACGCACAATCATCCTTTCTTTTATATCCTATACCTCCTACTGTGGTGAATTTTTACTTCAGAAATAAGAATTTGCTTAGCCTCTCCTTAGAATGGTTATATTTGAGGCTACATTCACACATGAGCGGTTTTCCACACGTATTGGTACAAGGGGAAACCCGCTAAACATAAACAATGCATTCCAATGCATTGTTAAGACTACTACAGCGTCCCCAAGGTACAAAACCGTGTATCCCGTAAAATAGTCTGCGATTATAGGGGTGGATTCCACACGTTTGCGGCTATAGTAATAGCTGTTAAACTTGCTGAATCCACACTCATTTAAAAAATGCGCATTTCCGTGCCACGCAGAAACCGCAAACGCCATATGTGAATGGAGTCTTATAATCACTGTGTAACATTTCACATGTTAGATACATTGCAGTGATACACATTTTAGCTGCTAATGCTCCTATGTAATAAAACCCATGTATACTCATGGCTGATCCGGCCATTTAACCTCTGACTTTATACTCCTTGATCTGTACTCTGTTTTCCCCTTAAATGTAAGGGGGAGGGGGGCAGTAAATCAGAAACATTTAGTTATCTTTTTAATAAGCTACTAAATGTGAGTGGATGTCCAGGAAGGATTCCACCCAAAGCAATTACCTTTTATGAATACTCTGTCCAGTGTGAAGATCCATCACTATAAATTTCCTCCCAAATCCTCCCCACCTTCCCCTCTCTGCACAAATTGTTCCTGTCTGGCACAGTTTAGTATATGGAGGAACTCACAGGTACTAAGGCAAGCGGGAGTAGACCACATAAGAAGCTACGTAAAAATAGATCTTATTGCTGCACTGCTCTATATCCTTAGTACTGCTGTGTAATAAGATTTTACCGACAGCCTTTCATAAACACACGAGATTAGATTAAAAATGACTGTACATGGACTGAAACTCTAATGTGTGCCGTATGTATAACAGTATTTCCTAACCCGGTAGCTAATAAGAACACACTGGGGGGAATTTATCAAAACTGGAGCACACAAAATCTGGAGCAGTTGTGCATGGCAACCAATCAGTATCTCTCTTCAGTTTGTTCACTCAAGATTTGAAAATGGAAGAGAGAAGCTAATTGGTTGCCATGCACAGCTGCCAAAGATTTTGTCTGCTCCCGTTTTGATAAATTCCCTTCAATGATTTTTCACATTGAAATATACATGAAAAGATGTTTTGTTGCTAAAACATATGCAAGTTAGTCACAGGGAGACATGCAACTTCTAACAGCTGTACAACTAAGCATGATCTATGGACAGGTCATCCAAGTACATAAAATGGTGATACAAGTCAGGTCATACACATGCAAGAGGGGAATGACCAAAGGGACTCAATGAACCAGTAGTGGGTAAAGTCAGCACATAATAAAAAGCATAAAGAGCAAAGCACATCACAAGACTCTGAAGTGTTAGCATAACTCTGCTCTTACCAGTTCCTCTATCTTTGCACTGAGCTGTTTGTTTGTTAAATTACTGGAGTCCAAGGCAGCAGACAAATCCTGGAAACGAGACTGCAGCGCATGCATATACAAGGGAGAGTCAGGACAGGTTGATAAAAGGAAAGAAAGACAATACAAAGTAATAGACAAAAAGTAATAATACAAAATAAAAAAGGACAACCCTTTGTTTACATATTCTAGCCTACCTTTCAAAGGACATGCCATGACCTGCACCTTTAGGTTATATTGACACTTGGTGTAAATTGTGGAAAAATTATGTGAATTTTGTGGATGTATTCTATCTCTAATAGTTTTGCCCTTACACGGCCCTGAATCTTTATATACAGTCGTGCTCATAAGTTTACATAACCCTGGTCAAAATTTGTAAACCGCTACGTTTGCTGAACTCATGTCACAAAACAGCCTGCATACAATATGCCAGAAAGAACCCAAAGAAGCTACAAAATCATATGGACTAAAGAAACTAAAATGGAGTCACAACCATAAACATTTTGTTTGGATAGATCAACAGAAATAATTGAGGAGCGCTACTATCCTATGGGGGTGCTGGCAGCGTGAAAAGGAAAAATAAGGGGTGACTTACAGTTAGGATGTCAGCAGACGTGCCTGAAGGTCCCCTGTGGGGTAGCGTCCGGGGTCTTGTTAACAGGTCCTTGGGGCAAATGGCAAGGGATGGAAGGTTGCCGGACCGGAACTTAAGTGAGATGTTGACCAGGCACACTTACTCAGCTGGCCAGGTCGAGCCACGGCGGCTGGAGGGGGAAGAGATGAGACTGCCGGGAGTGCACCAGGTGCTGCGGGTCAGTGCACAGTAAGAGAGGGCGGTGTCATTAGAGTGGAAAATCTCAAAACATGGGCAGAGTTGGCCAACTCGCAGCACCTGGTGCACTCCCGGCAGTCTTCCCCGATACAGCGTGGTGACATGGCGGTTTGTGTCTCATAGCCGTTCGCGGCTCATCTTTCCCCTCCCTCCAGCCGCGGAGGGCAGCCTTCCATCCCTTGCCATTTGCCCCAAGGACCTGTTAACAAGACCCCGGACGTCACCACACAGGGGACCTTCAGGCACGTCTGCTGGCATCCTAAGTCACCCCTTGTTTTTCCTTTTCACACTGCAAGCCACACTAGGGCTGCCAGCACCCACAAAGGGTAGGAGCGCTCCTCAGTTATTTGTGTTGATTTCTGCGAGTTACAGGGTCCCTCTCCTTTTTTTGATGAGCTTTGCACACTGCTCTCTATTGATCACATTTTAATAGTGTGACCATTAAACAGCAGTGCGCTTCTCCATTGTTTTTCGTTCCATTGTTTGGATAGATGTCAACAATGCTATGAAGCAAAGTACACATCCCAACTGTGAGGGATATAGGGCTGTAGGCTACAGCAGCCCAGGAAATCAATAACAACTCATGGCAAGATGAAATGGAGCATATTCAGAGAAATTAAAGGAAAATTTGAATTAGTCAACCCAGAAGCGGCACATGAGGAGGACTTGGACTTTCCACCATGACGCTTATCCGAAACAGAAGGCCAAGTCCGCCCTTTAGTAGTTGTAGCAGAAACGGGTAAAATTTCTTTAGTGGCCATCAAAATCTTGTGACCTCATCATCATTGAATCACTTTAGGGAGATCTCAAACATGCAGTTAATGCCAGGCAACCAAAGAAATTACAGGAACTGGAGTTTTTTTGTCAAGAGGAATGGGTAATTTTACCACGTTAGGGATGCACCGATACCGGTATTTTGGTACCGAGTACCGATAATTTTTTTATCGGTACTCGCCGATAGCAATTACCGAGTAACGGAAGTCCCATTCAGGAAGCCAGGTGGCGTGTAATGACTCGCCACCTGGCTTCCCGATTAGCCGGGAAGCCAGGCAGCGTGTAAAGAGTCGCCACCCGGCTTCCCGTTTAACAAAAAAGTCCCCTCTTACCTTAGTATGTGCAGGCTGTCATACCCCGGGGCCTCTCCAGCGAGAAAGCGGCCTTCGTCCGGTACCCAGCCGGAGCCGTCTAGTCGGCCAATCAGGAAGGCGGGCACCGTGTAATGACGCAACGCCCTGCTTTCTGATTGGCCGGGAGGCCGGCTCCATGCTCTCGTCATGAGATGACGAGGGAGCATGAAGCCAGCTTCCCGGCCAATCAGAAAGCAGGGCGTCGCGTCATTACACGGTGCCCGGCTTCCTGATTGGACAG